TGGGCATGTCGAACTGCGAGTCTTTGGAGTTTTCACACTCAAAAGATGCAATCGGTTCCAACCAATAAATAGAAGGAAACTCAATTGCTTAAGTGATGAGTGTGTCTCTGTCCCAATCTGGGAACAGAGTCTTTTTAGCTTGAATTGTCTCCTCATCCTCCCGGATTTTCCTTTCTCTGGCTTCTGCCTCACGAGCTATCTTCATTGTTTCGTCAAGCTCTCTGTCCCGTTTCATGCGTTGAAGAGCTTCAGTAATGGTTTCATCATATTCTGATTCGCTCTCAACTAGGACATTTTTACCAGAACCCGAAGCTACATTACCCTTCGGTTCTTGTTTGGACATACCTTCCTCTCCCCCTTGTCTCGGGAGAACATGCTTCTCCGAGACACCCTTCATTTCACTTAGGATAGTGATCGCCGGAAGGAGTTTCGCCTGGAGATGCTGACGAATAGTGAGGGTTAGGAAGGGATCATGGGAGTCAAGAATACCGGTTAACATATTTTTAACGTCACCAGCGCAACTCTGAAGAACTGCCCGTTGAGTTTGAAGTAAAGAGATTTCTTGTTGTGCCTGGGCCAGTTGAACTTTCTGTAAGTCAATAGTTGCCTGGTGCTTGATGACTTCTTCCTTCAGGGTGCTCTCGGCTGCTAAAGAGGCAAAACGTGAATCCAAAGATTTGAGAATTGAAGTGGATTCAGTTTTGAGGTCAGCACGCAGAGCCTCAAATTTCCTGGTTTCTCCCTGAAGGGTGGCTGCGAACGAGTCTACTGACGCTTGAAATTTGGAAGCATTTGAATCAGCATGAGCCTTGAGAGAATCAAGAAAGATCTGAGTTGTATGAACAACCTCAGAAACTTCCTTAGTGGCTTTGGAGCATGAGGCTGCTGAATTGTCTACAGCGTCAGTAGAGCGATCCAAGGCTTCGGTGTAAGTCTGGATTGCTGACTCGATGAAAGCCTTCAGCACAGCACCCCCATATGCTTTACTGTCAGCTAGCAGACTGTCGAGTTTTGTGTGAATCTCTTGAAGTTGTTGACTTGACACAGGGGTATCTGTATCGGTGTCGGTAGGGATCCGGTAAGGGCTGTAATAGATGGAATCAAATTCATCATCATCACCCCTAGGGTAGCACCGGAGTTGGAAGATGGAGAAGGGAGGATTGAGGGTTGATGACCGGGGTTTCAACCACAGAAGCAGCCCCCGTATCAGATACGTTGACCGTTACTGGTGGTTGGGTTGTGGTTATGGTGATAGATTCTGTGATAATAGGTTGGGAGATAGAAGATAAAGGTTGAGAAATGATGAAAGGAATAGTGGTTTCGGTTGTGGTTTGGGAAATTGATGTTGGAACAGAACTTGAGATGTTCTGTTTGGGTGATTGGGTTGGGGTTGAAAATTTTGGGAAAGTAAGAGGAGAAGGAGATTTGGTAATTTGGGGAGATTTAGGTGGGGAAGGTGAGTTTTGTGGAGACGAAACGGGTGCAGTTTCGGTTTGAGGATTAACATCTGGTGGGGTAGGTGAGTTTTGTGGAGACGAAACGGGTGTAGTTTCGGTTTGAGTATTAACGTCTGGTGGGGTAGGTGAGTTTTGTGGAGACGAAACGGGTGCAGTTTCTGGTTGAGGATCAACATCTTCTGTTTGGGATGGTGCATTCTGTTTTGATTCAGAAGGAGATCCTTTGGCTCTTTTAGCCATCTTCTTGACCTTTTTCGATCTCGGCTGAGAAGGTGCCTCTGCCTCGGATTTGCGTTTGGAGGACCTTCTCTTTTTCTCCTTTTGGGGTGCGGGTCCCTTCATCTCAGCCTTCTTCTTTTTGGTCGCTCTTTTGCCCCGGTTAGCAGGCTGATCCAGAGCCTCAAGAGCTGCACGTTGTTCCTCGGATAGAACCCTAGGAGGCAGGGGGGTCTTGAGCTTTAGTCCGCCATAATCTTGCTGTGGGGCGTGACACATCTGTACATGGACTCAGGGATTAGTCCATAGTGGAGGAACTTACTTGGATCTGAGAGAATGATTTTCTTGGTGTGGTATGTGGCAATTGAAGCCATAAGAACATCCTTCATGACAGGGATGTCGGAGAGAATCAATGGCTCTCCTGGTGATGAGGGTCCAAAACCTGGCGCATGAAATTTCTGAGTGCCTTGCGGTAGAGTTGAGACTCTGAACCACTTGAGACCAGAGAATCGACCCATAGTCCAGATTGATCCCGTTGTAAAGCCCATACAGCATTGTGAGAAATCCTTTGCTAGTGGTGTCGGAACCACCACATCGCTCCGCTAAACCCTTAATTAAAAGGGTAAGCAATCCATTCCACTGAGATGGAAGACATGATTTCTTGACTTTGCCAACAGATGTTAGAACATCTGTATACCCCATCTCGTACATCATCTTAAAGATTTGGGCGGTTGTGATGAAGTCTGGTGAAATAACAGAAGCATCTACGGCAAGCCCTAGAAGAGAGCAAAACCGTGCTTTGGAAACGGAAGTCTTCTTGTCGTGAATAGAGAAGTAGATACGGTCTTTGTGTTTGTCATAGCTTGCTGTGGAGTAGACTTGAGATAGCAGGGAAATAGGAACTGCCTCCACCTGCGTTAATGCCAATACCAATGGGGAATATGTGAGGCATTCCACCACGTAGAGCATATATGAGTCATAGACGTATGGAGACAACTCTATGATCATGTTCTGATTTGGTTTGATTGCAAGAAAAGAAGAAGAAGCAGACTGATCGTGAGTGGAAGAAGAAGTCGCCATTGTTGAGTTTTTGGAAGAAGATGAACAGGGGCAACTTTTTCAGAGAGATAATGCTTTGAGAGGTAACTGCCAAAGAACACGATCACGTCTTATTTATACCGTTCTCAGGAGAGAGAAAATCGTGATGATTAGGAACCCAAAACGTCGCTGAAAAAGCGCGATTAGAAGTTATGGTGTATTCAATGAAGACGTCAGCACACGTGGGGCTGAACGAATCCTTTGCACGCGCCCAAATCTTTTTCGTACCGTTTGAAATCCCTTGTGCCCTTGTTTGGTTACAGTTGAGACTTAGAACCATGTGCCAAACAGTAATTAGAATGTGGGAAAATAATTCCGTGCATAAGAGTGTGAAAGACAAGGAAATAAATCGAATGTGTTTGGTAGTGCGTGTTGTCTAAATAAAAGACAGAAGGCAGAAGATGCCGGGCAAGAATCGCTTCCTTCAGAGTCAAGAGAGACCTGAAGAGTTTGTGTGGTTTCCCGAGAAATACGATCAGTTGTTTTTAGAGAAACAATGAAAGGCGTCTTCTGATGATGGCTAAGAGGTGGCTGAACTCAATCCAAACCTTAAGTCTTGACATAAAACTTAAGTGTTGGTAGAGTTACCTGTGAGACCGATGTGATCTGTTGAACAGGTAGGTGGGAAGTATTCTGTGATGGGAATGATATAGACAGAAATCTCAAAATAAATTAAACTGGATCTCTTTGGGAAGAAATGTCTTAGGACGAGACAGTTTCATAAAAGATCACTCATAAAGAAGAAATTTCCAAGTAAAAGCTTGAGTTTAATAACTCACCGTCAATTCTATTTAGGTGTTGGATTTTGGGTTTCACTTAGAACGTGGTAATCGAATCTAAGATCATGAACTCAGATGTTGTGCAACCATAAAGCCTCAGTGGTAAAGACTGAGAGCATCAAGGGTTACTTTAGGGAGCGAATGTAAGTGAAGAAGTTGAAGAGATGGTTAAGAGACCGAAAGTACCTTCTGCTACATAAATGGGACAAGCAGAGCAACTCATGTTTCAGATGAGTAAAAGAAAGGTAGCTCTAGACGCGAATATGAGAAAATGGCCTGATTGGGAAGAAACGATAGGTATTGATCGAATCATTAAGGCATGCTCGAGGTCATAGAGGCTTGGGACAACATACAACAGCATGCTTCTAGGAACGTCTAACTAGTCTTATAAGAGAAAAACATACCTGGATGAACGTTCCATAAGGCCATACTTGTATTCACTTGAGCAAGAAGTACATATAAAATATTTTTGAAATTTTGAAATTTACTTAGAGATAAATAAATGCTGAAAGACAAAATATTTTTGTTATTTTTAATTTTCTGAAAAAGGAATAAAAACAGAAAGATAAAATATTTTTGTTAAATTTGAAGTTTCTGAAAAAGAAAATAA